CGTGGTGAAGATGGACGTAACGAGCTACTAGTTAGCCATGGCTAGAGGTGGGGAGATGCTGTGTACACTGTACGTAAACTCCCACGGATTACCAGCAAAAGGTGGCCAAGGTCTAAAGGTAACATTTGAGAAGAAGCCCTCTGTGTCAGAGCGTCTCAGTAACGCGTGGAGAACTACATCGCTGTTAGTAAAGTGTTGTGGAGATAAAGTAAACAACGCGGATTTAGCCACTGGCTAGCAGACGAGCGCTGGAGCATGTTGGGAGTGATGGCCGAGATGGCAGGAGGAGAGGAGACTTGAGTAGAAGGACTTTGGAACGGACACATTGGGACCGGATCAGGAATTCTGGTACTGACACGTTGGGGCCGGGTCGGGAGTTCTGGTACTGACACGTTGGGGCCGGGTCAGTAGTTCTGGTACTGACACGTTGGGACCGGGTCGGTAGTTCTGGTACTGACACGTTGGGACCGGATCAGGAGTTCTGGCACTAGGAAAAGACGGATGAACAAGTTGAGGTGAGTTTGGGAGTCAGAGACAATAATCGGAGGCTGGAGAACAGCTAATAGTGGGCGGGGTCTGAACATGTGCAGCTTCCTTGTGTCGGACATGATGAGGAACTGACATTTTATGTGTCTTTTGATTTAATTGTTTTTTATTCAATCTAACAAGTACAGCAACGGTGTAGCTATTCTTTTCTGTTTCTTAGTTGAATTAGCAGACTCCATGCTTCCAGAGTGCACTGCTGCCCTCTGCTGGTTCTTTCAGGTTACAGTCATAGTACAAACGGTAACGTGGAGCTCGTATGTCCCTAAACAGCTACTGTACTTTAAGATGGTGGATGACCATGGAGTGTCGACCAGTTTATGTATATAAAAATGTAAAATTTCAAGTTGAGAGGAATATTTAGAATTGATGTTGGTGAGAAACATTAGTGAAAAAGGACACGTTTGTGAACTGGAAACACAGGATTTATAGTAAACAGGTTAAAATATCACATACTAGGACTTTAAAGCAGAATGTACTGCTAATATCTGAGATTTTTTTATGCAGCCCGATATAATCCGATAGTGTTTTGGGGCTGATATCTGATATCAATATCGGAACGGGACATCCCTAGTTTCTAAGTTAGCCAAGAGGTACCAGTGCATTCCTGGGACATGGTCACTGCACAGCGAAGCACACTTAAATCAGAGCGTGTTGATCAGCTTCTGTTCCTACACAAGAACGTGAAAGTTTAGAATCCAGAGACTGATGGCAGCAATGGTGCTGGGGAAGAAGGCAATGAGGAATAGTTTCACATTTGCTGCCATGTTGCACTTACATGCCATGGACAGATTTCACTCATTGTTCTGATATAAATCTAGCCTTGATTTGGGAAAAAATAGTTCCACGTGTTATGAGAGCTGCTTTTGTTGAAGGTTTAAAAGCTGCTACGATTGTGGGAAGCTTAGCTGGATTTGTGTTGAGGATTTTCTTGGATATTCTCCAATAACTGAATAAGCTACCTTCTGTAGTTCATAATTAAACCAGCTGAATAAGCTATTTATTGGAATAGAGCTGCTAGGTCAGAAAATGGTGCCAACTGCTACTTGTTTGTTAAAAGATGTACCATTGAAGGCACTTTGTTTTCATAAGAAACTGAGCTTTAAGGGTTGAATAACTGACACAGGTGAACCGAACCCTGGTGTTCAGAGGTGGTACTGCAACAACAGGACAAATCTTCCAGCTGCTGGGATGTTGGTTCACTGCTGACACGTTCCAGCACCGTGTTCGGAGACATATCGTACAGGATAAGGCCTTTTTTCTATGTTTATTTTACAACTGTATTTACCATTAGAACATCTTCTGGGCTCAGAATCAGCTTCTTGACGGGTCAAGTCCGCCATTTTACACAGTTCCAACCTTGCCTTGCGGAGCGGACGTTTTAGCGCAACGGCGCCCTCTAGCCCAGTATCGTGCCCAATAGAATTAGTTTTTTTTTTACAGATGTTAGGACCCATTTCTCAATACTAATGTCACTTTTGCTAGACACCACACAGTTCTCCTAACGGCGTTTCAGCTTGGCAAAACAGTTCATTTCACATTGAAAATGCACTACAACCACCAAAACACTTCATTCAGGTCTCAAATAAACATTCCTCCAGAACACTAGTAAAGGTTGACAGCCGACAAACATACTTTGTCACCCACAAAACAAAGCCCTAAAAAAGACTAACAACATGTAGCATTACATTTTCTTGTGTAAAACAAGGACACATCTCTGTTCGTACTTCCAATAGATGCTACTGGAATGAATCAGACATGATGCAGAATTATTCAGTATTTCATGCTGTTTATTTATTTTTAATGGTATTTGTTATTGCACTAAGTACTTCCAAAACACAAGACTTTGTAAACACAACATCCACTGATACAGATTCAATATGCTAATCTACTCGGTCTTCTCCATTTGGCCACAGGTTCTCATCCACATCACATCTTATGTCATCTAGGGCAATACACCTAGGAAAGACTCTTCTGGCATGCCTGATCCATCCCTGGCAATCTACTGCTGATATGTCCAGGCATCCAGCATACATCGCATCCAGAAGGGACATTTGATCATGTGGATGATGGTCGAACACCTTCCACCGCCATGAGGCAAAGAATTCCTCTATGGGGTTGAGGAATGGAGAGTAAGGTGGGAGGAAAAGTGACTCCATTCTGGGATGGGCCACAAACCACTCTGACTGCATGGGAGTGGTGAAATGCCACATTGTCCCATACAATTATATATGTTGGCGTTGACTACTTTTATAATGACATTGAAAGTGTAACACCTGTGCAGCTGTTCATCTACAATTAGTCAGCTGTGGCTGGTTAGACTGCATTTATGTTCCAATAACATATTGCTGTTGGATGTTGTTGTCATATTCAGTTTGCAGTACGTTATTGTTTTGAACATGAGTTTTACAGTTTTGTGAACAGTATGTAAGCAAGTGCAACATGTCCTGTTAGTACAATGATTTTTGGCAGTTGTTGTGTCTGAGTGAGAAGGGACTTCATGACATTTGAGAGATGTAGTCACTCAATGCATTTTGTGCCAAAGCAATGATAATTGATCGTCAGTTTGGCCCACATAGACTTCTGTTGTGCACACCGTATGTAGAGTTTTGCAAATGTGACCAAGGTATTGAGAAATGGGTCCTAACGTCAGTAAAAAACTGTAAAATGTTATTATCTTTTTGTTTAAACATAGCTTTAAAAGGAGAAGCTGTGCACACCCCTGAACGCCCCGTAGAGGTATTAGTGTTTTTAAATATAGCTTTTTATTCAAATGTTCCATTTTCCAACTTTAATATGCTAAACCTTGTTTTTGTACTTTTAAGAGTTTTATTTTTCAAACAAGCATTTTTTATTTGAAGTGTTTTGATGCAGCTAAATAAAAGCCAGCTCACAGTATTGCTGGGGAAAAAGCTATTAGCTTGAATTAATGTGTTCTAAATTAATTAGAAAGTATGAAAAAGCTACATGAGAAACAAATCCTGATTGCTGGAAACAACACACCAAAAATAGTGGTAATGGTTTAATGATTGAACCGTAGGACCCTGAATCGAATACAGGGGTACCTAAGATGGCCCACCCCGACTGAAAAGGCTCACCCCTTGAGACTTGAGCCTAATTTGTACTTCTCTGTCAGGTCCCTGAGGAAGACATGCACGCACTGGCTTACAGGGAACTGCAGTATTCCAGCCTTAACAGGACAAATGCACACGCTACAGTCTCTAAATCCTTTCTTTAAATGATGAGTCTAGACAGGCATCAAAGCTGAAAGAAGCAGGATCTGATCACTGTATTCACTTGGGCATCAAATGTCCACTTTCACTCCCAGGTCAGTGACATGAGGTCCCCACCATGAGTCACTGTGAGTGAAAACTATGTCCTCAGCCTTATCGTCATTAAAACACAGGAAGTTAGCTGCCTTCCAGGAGCGTACCTCATTTAAACAGTCGATCAGAGGCTCTCCCAAGTCTTGTTCTGCACAAACTGTAGTAGACTCCTGGGGTGGAGGAGAGTAGCCTTGGTACCACAGCCGAGTTAAGACAGCTAACACAGCTTCAGCATGCAATCCTTACGCCTAATTTATACGCCTCCGTCTGCATTGGGACGGAGACGCGCAACGCCATAACGCGTCGGTGCAAGAGCTCTCCAATGGGCGAAAGAGGGTGACGGACACATGCCCCGTTTTAAACTATCCGTCGAAAGTGCTGGAGCATTACGGAAAAAGTCCGAAAATATGAAGGTTTTTTCTCCCGTGACTGAAGGAGTACAAATATGTGCAGCAAGGTTTTTTTCGTGAACGGAAAAGACGAGAAACGCGGCTGCAGAAGTGCCGATCGCAAGAAGAGGTTGATGATATTGTGTTCACGTTGAAAAGTATCTGAAACACATTAGAACAATGTAAACGCAATAATAAATACACGCGAGGAATGGACACGTGACTGTAACGGTGGCAGGACACCTCAGAACAGCGCTATGCCCTCTGTTGGCCTGGCGAGGAACTGGTTTACAACAACCAGCTGATGCAGAGGTGTGAAAGCAGAGCGAGTGTGTCTCCCTCGTCTGGATGGATGGATGAATGGATGTGTGTGTGTGTGCGTGTGCGTGTGCGTGTGTGTGTGTTCACATGACGACACGCCTTGCTGGTACCAAGGTCCGGCCTCCGAACGTCACCGGCGGCCGGCATCCATCCGTGTCAGACCCTTTAGACCCGAGGTGTGCCAGCTACACAGCCCGGTGTGTAACTGGATCAGAACCGGTCCCGAGTCCCCCACCGCTGCCAAGGCGAGCCCCAGCCCCCCGCTCCTTCATGCTGAGCCTTTCTGCAGTCTGCGGCTCCTGATGAAGGTCCGCTCTCCTTACTGACCTCGGCTAAAGCTCCGAGGTTCTGTTTGATTCTGAAAACCGAACCGAATCACGGGAAGATCCCAGAGACCACAAGAGGCCACGGAGATACTTACAGCTGGTCCAGAGAGGCTTCAATCCGCAGCGGGGGACCCAGAAACGGTGTGGTCTCGGTCTTGCGGTGTTCCGGTCCAGGTTCCACGAGGGGTTCTCTCGGTCCGGTTCTAAACGACCCGTTTCCCAGATGAGGCCCAAATCCTACAGTTTTCCCCTTCAGCCTGCATGGATCCCAAAACGGCCTCAAGCTGCTGGACGCAGGCAGCAGATTACTTCCGGTCGAGACTTTCACAATAAAACCATGCATGCTTCCGGTCCCGTGTTTGTTTACAGTGGCCTTGCCTCCCTGGAAAAGAGACGGACGTGGCTGATATTCACAGATTCGACTTTTCCTCCTCAGTAACTCCTGATCCGAGTGTCATTTAGAAACACAACACACCTCTTCGGAATTGCGGCAAGGCACTCAAAAAGCTACAGCCTTGTTGTTTTCTTAAAAACAACAACTCGTTCTCTGCTTCCGACGCGCTAAAATACGTGAAAATCTCCGCTACGAGGTGACGGAGCTGCGCCAGCGCTTAGGGACCATCCGCAAATAGAAAGACCTGAAGAGGCTCATGAAATAAAAGATAAAAATCTCCACCTTTGTCCACTGCAGGTTAAACAAATTCATGAAACAAAACACTGAGCATATGGTGAACATATTACACCAATTAGTTCAAGCCATCAATGTTATTTTAATTACTGGTGAAATGTTAAATATGTTAAACTTTAATAGAAGAAGAAGAAAATATCATTTCTATAGCGCCTCTCAAGATAAAAATCATGAGGCGCATCACAAAAACTGTAAAAATATTTTAAAAAAGCATTTAGAAAATGATTAAAAATATATTTAAGATGAGCAAAAATAGACAATTGTGATTTTAAAAAATGTAAAGAAAGAAAGAGAGTGTACAGGAAAGAGGGAAATCAGTGGATCCTAAGGAAGGTGGTAAACAGCAGAATAAAGAGAGAGTGGTGAAGAAGGTCATACAACAGCCAACTTGAACAAGTGGGTCTTCAGCTGCTTTTAAAGGAGGCCACTGAGTCCACTGATCTCAGGCTCAGGGAGAGAGAGTTCCAGAGTCTGGGGGCCACAGCAGCAAATGATCTGTCACCTTTGGTCTTTAGCCTGGTGCTGCACAACCAGTAGGCTTTGATCACTGGACCTCAGGGACCTGCTGGAGGCGTAGGGACTGAAGATCACCAATGTGAGATGGTGCTTGTCCATGTAAGACCCTATAGACCAGAACCAGGATCTTGAAATGAACCCTGAAGTTGACTGGCAGCCAGTGAAGCTGGAGGAGAAGTGGGGGGATGTGGGTGTGTTTGGAGGACTTGGTCAGAAGCCGAGCACAGGCATTCTGAACCACCTGTAGACGGTTCAGGGAGGTTCTGCTCATGAAAAGAGAGTTACAGTAGTCTAAGTGTGAGGAGATGAAGGTGTGGATAACAGTCTCAAGTTCAGAGTGAGACAGAATGGGACTCAGCTTAGCAATGTTCCTGAGATGGAAGAAGGAAGAGCGAACAAGAGAACTGACATGAGAATCCAGGGTGAGAGCTGGGTCAAAGGTCACGCCAAGATTCCTGACAGAAGGTTTGGTGTGAGAAGCAAGCTGACCAAGAGAGTCTCTGACTTTGGGAACCAGCTTGTCTGGGGCACAGATGAGGATCTCAGTCTTATCTTCATTCAGCTGTAGAAAGCTCCCACCATCCAGGTTTTGATAGAGTCTAAGCAGGTGTGTAACAGCTGTACAATAGCAAACCTGCCAGAACTCTCCTTAGAGCTAGTCCCTGTTTAACACGGAGCTCTTATGTTTGGCCCTAGGGTGCTTAAGACGCCATCAAAAATAAAACATGTCATGTCACACCCACACAGGGTTTCAGTGTAGATTCAGAGTTTTTTTGACATTTCTAAAAAAAGGACTAACGTCCAGAGCGCAGGGTGTGAGTGATGACACATGACCCTGTCCAGCTGAAGCCAAGCGGAGGATTTCCCAAAGAGAACGAGGCCTGATAGAAACGTCTGAGCCGGTGTCTAAGATAGCATTACAGCCAAGGCACCCCTGAAGGGTCACAGGCATGTGCAGTTTTCATTTGGGACCTTCACGGATTACTCCACAGAGAAGCTTTAGTTTAGGTTTGTCCAGCGGGAATGGATTACTTGACCCGCTGACAGGTGCATTGGATGTACGAGGACCGGTGCTATTGGATGTGACCTCACCAGACCCTATTGGGATCAGGTGTCACTGGACGCACCATTGGGGCAGGTTCCTATTTTTGGGTGCTCTTCATTACAACAAGGTCTTCCGCAGGTGGCATAGGTGCACAAGGATGTGTACTTGGGCCTGCAGAAGAGACAAGCAGAACCTCGTTAGTATTATATGGGTCTTTATCCAAGGCGCTAAGGGCAGATCACAGCGCATCGCACAGGGCTTGAGGGGAACCACGTCCAGAATCAGATCTTGGCCTTGGGGCAGGGCTGTGGCCCCTGCGTTCGCCTCACGGTGAGCAACCGTCAGGACGAGGGCGGCATTTGCCTGAGCGAGACAACTGCCTCCTGGAGGAGTACTGTGAACCCCCGTCTGAGCCGGTGGGGAAGCCTTGAGGCTAAAATGGCTTGTTGGACTTCTGGGCCTGTGAGTTTGCTCCAGGCCAAAAGTGAGCTGAACGGTTGTTACCTTCTTTGTTACGCTCGTACTGTGTTTGTTTTCTTTAGTTCTTCGTTGTACACGGTGTGATGACGGTTTGTTTTTACCTTTGCCGACATGATTCAACGTCACTGGCGTCTTCATAAGGGTAACCGCCATATGATGTTGGCTTTTATCCGCGGGCAGCCGAGGACTGCTGCCCACGCCTTCTCCGCTGATTAGCGTGTCCCATGAGCGGTCCAGGGTGTAGACTCCTTCATCCCTGTTCATGGTCCTGGGTCCATGTCTCCTTTGAATGTCTGTAGCTCTGTCTAGGATCCGTGTTGCCAGCTCATTACATGGTTTTCTGCTGTGCGGTGGTCGGTTACAGCTGATTTCTGTTGGGTATGCACAGGTGTATAAAGCGTTTGTATGTGTCGGTCCCCGTGTCCGCGTTCCTCTTCTTCTGTTATTACGTTGGCTCTGTGGTACAGCGTCCTGATTACTGACATTTATGTATGGTAGGATGTTCTGATGTCCATAATAAAGATTGGTCTGTGTGTGTTTATGTTCAGGGTTCCATCTCTCTGTCTGGTTATTTTCATGTCCATGAAAGTTATTCCTGAGACCAATCATGGAGGTTAGCTCATTATCTTCAGCACCCATAAGGAGGCTGTACTGAGCATGTCAATTCTCAAGGAAAAGTTCTTAGAAATCTTTGTCCTCCTCCATCTCCGGTGCACATTCGGAGCCAAAATAAACTTCAAAAAGCCAGAGGTAGTGTGGTTGTGGGTCTTCAGAACACCCCTGCTTTATGGACATAGTCAGTTTTAGTCAGGCTACCTTTGCAGTGCTAGCATACTCTTTTTAGTTGCCACTTCCATTCAGATGTAATCATTTCTGATCACATCCAACTGGCGGTAAGGGAGTGTAGCTCCAGTATACTTGTTGAAATGATAGCTAAGGTCATGGAGATATGAACGACCCTGTTGTGAGCTCCCTGGGCGAGGGTCAAACTTTTTAATGCTTCGTGACATCTGATTGCTATTTGGCTGCTGCTTCATGAACAGCCGGTACCATGGGGGGGTGGAATGGGAACGGTCTCCCCCCTTTGACCAGCTGTGTCAACAAGCAGTGAGAATGTTTTTACACACTTATGTGAAGTGAATGTTAACCATTAAGAATAATCTTATATATGAAGTTGTTAACTGGACAAACACTGATCTGGTGTTAAGATCTGAAATGAATCATTGCAGGAAAAACATTCATGTGAACACATCCTTGATTAATGCACAGATTATTCAAGCACTTTAGGATTAAAACGTCTTGTTCATTCAACACATCTGATTATATAAACCATAACGTTGTAAAGATGAGCTTCAGTCAGAGTGACAGTAAAAGGTCTCGTCTCCTGCACGACTCCTTGAGCAGAGATGTTATGACTTCTTTGGTGGGTTGCATGTTGTATCCTTGTTTTTCTTGCTTGGAGGTCAGGCAGATGTAATGCGTCGCTGGATGAGTGACGCAGTTTGAGGCTGCAAATGAAAAGTTCCTTTCTGTTTATTTTGGTAAAAACGTGACCTCTGGTACGCTACATCAGCATCTAACTTCTTACTTATCTTTTCTGCCACATCCTTTTCTCAGCTTCTTTGTTTTCTTTCTGTGAGTTTTCCACCTCCCTGATTGCCTCCCTGTCTGCGATGCTGAGTTGTCATAACTCTGTTCGGGCGTGCAACCCTTTTTGCGTTCACTCGTGATTTACGACCTCAGTTTCTCAGAGGCTGGCTAGAAGAAAACAAAATGCCCCAAAGCATCTGGGCTCATCCCGACCCTAACCTTCTCAGTGCCAGTGAGAACCTTGTTGGCTTGTTCCCAAATCACTTGTTGTACTCCAGCGGGTGGAGACCGAGTCACTTCATTGCTGGGTTCTGTTGGGGGAATAGAGTCAGTCCAAGCTGTAACAGCAGGTTTTACACACAGCCCTAACGGCAGAGGTGCCCCCCACGGCCGACGCACGGCACCAAAATGGTTACACCACCACCCCCTGCACCACGGCTGGAAACATTTCTAGGGGAAACACTGGAACAGCTGATAAAGATGCATCACACAAACATCTGAGCATGTGAAGGTAAACTCATAACACAGCCTTACATGTCCGAGTCCAAAAGAACCTGCTGGTGTGCGACCCGCAGACACGCTCCGAGCTGCTCTCCACAGTGCTGAGCCTGGTGTCCAAGTCTGAGATAAGGATGTTCTCTGTGTGTGATGTTTAAAACGTCTGTGACCAACAGGCTGGAGATCTGTCTGTCTCAGATAAACAGTCAAATACAGATATTATCTGGTGAACATGATCCTGACTACATTTCACTGTTTACCTTCTTGTGAAAATACTTCACAACGCTATAGAGCAGGGGTGTGAAAGATGCGGCCCGCGGGCCGGATCCGGCCCGCAAGCAGGTTAAATCCGGCCCGCGAGATGGTTGTGTATTTTCATACTTTACAATGTAGAGTGAAAATAAACTTATCATTGTGAGCAAGTTTTCTCTGTAATGAGTATAAATAAAACAAAGCTGCGCTCAAGGCTCACACAAGAACTTGAATCACATCCTGAAGATGGCCGCCACTCAGGATGTGACTTCTGATATTGATGTGCCGGTGAAAGCTAAAAAATGTAAAGTAAAATGAGTCAAAATACTTTAAGTGCTGCATGAAACTGATCTAGCCATGTGATCTGTAAGCTCTTTGAATCACTAAGGAATGTTTTTTTATTTATTGATTTTTTTTTTTCAAATTTTCAAGTACACTTCAGGTGTTGTACTTGTACTACACTGTCCTCAAGCTCCAGCCTTGTTTTATATTGATTGAATTAAAACAAAGAAAACAATCTGAAGTTTTT